GACAACCCATATACATATATGTATACCACATACACACACATACATAAGAAAAAATCACTGTGGTTAACTTCTATTTTGGAATTTTACAATGAACGTTAAGAAAGCAATAGCAATTTTAGAGAAAATAAGTATTTTTATCTTGAAAGGCTTAATTTTCAGGGTGGTGTTGCTCTACAAGTTTGGCTCTAGACTCTTCTGTCACATGCAGTGCAAATACTGGGATATTCCCTCCATTATCTGTAAGGAGATATCGTCATTGCTTTCTTTTTGGTTCTGATGTGGGTACTCCCCAGGTTTACAGAGACTTCATTTTTCACTGCAAGAGACTCTTACCTCCCTCACAGACTGAAATGTTCTAAGACAGAGCTAGTTCACCAATGTAGTAACAAAGCGTTAACATTGGTAGATTTTCACGACAGGCTTATAAATAATTTCTGCTTGTTATATATCTTTTGTGTGTGTATAATCTATTCTCAATTGTTTCTGTTATTGCTCCGGTTATTAATCTCTAGAAATATTATAAAATACGCAGTTATGTTAAAGACAAATGAATCTATTAACAATAAAATTTGATTACACACATAACAACAGAAATAGTTTTGTCAATTGAAAAACCTCTAGACATTCTACAATGTAAATGTAATCAACATGTGAAAAATGTCCAGTAATTAATATGTGTAACAATAACCCCATTAGGAAATTGATTGCAGAATATACTTTGATATTCTCTAATTTTTACAACCCTAAAATAGTTTGAGATAAACTGCCTTTATCTACTGTTTCTTCTCTGATAAAGACTAATATATTTACTTATTCTGAACAAAGGATAATTAGCAGGACAGTTGAGCTTGCACTAATGAATTATCAGATTTATTATGCTATAGTACACATCTTTTGTCCAGAGTGACAAAAATACACTTTCGTTTTTAGAAGATCAAAAATACACAGCCCATGCCTGATCTTTTCCTGGTTTGCACCTATTTCAACTTTTTATTGGTTGATGAGTAGGAATCAATCACTTCTCTAATTAGGGAATGACATGGTCCAGCACCAGCTGGAACTGCAGTACAATAACTATGCTGTGCAGACTTCTGTAACTAGCCCTGCTTTCCTCTCCTGTTCTAGAAACACTAATAAAAACTTGGACAACTTACATACCCTTTTCAAGTTCAGGGCTTTTGCTTACTGGTTGTTGTTAAGACTGTAAGTGTTTCTAACAAGCAGAGGAACATCCTAAAATTTTATTGGGGGACTATTTTCATGCACTTTGGTTACTTACTCCAAAAACTTTCCATTTTTAAGAGAAATTAGAATTAAAATAATGAAAATGCTTTTCTTAGTGTTCTGTTGAATAGAAAAAGGTCATAGCATAGGGAGGGAGTTTTAAGCTCTTTTCAGAGTGATTCTCTTTTCAGATGCAGGCTCTTTAGCCAGCTGCTTCTCATGTAGAGAAGAAGGGTGAACTGACTTTCCACTCTGGGTTAAGATGGAATATATAAGGTTCTCTGTTGACAATCAAAGCTCTGTCTGTGTTGAATGGCCTTGTATTTTTCCTTCTTATATGAAAATGTTCTCAAAGCAGAATTACCTCTCAAGGTTGTTGAAAATCGGTTTCACTTAAAACCTACTCCAACATCAGGTTGAAAATTCATCACTGCTTTTTCTTCCTCGATTTTTATCTTTCAGACCTGTCCTTGGATTAGTCCCCGCCCCCGCAACTTTCTCAAGAGACTACTTTTCAGTGTTTGAGTGTAGCTCCCACCAACACGGTGGAGAACTTACGTTTTTTCCCATCCAATTCCACGGAGTAGGCGTCCTGCTTGCAGTTGATGATGCAGCCACAAGGTAAGTGGGTCCAGCGTTTGGACAAGACAAACACTGGGGTTACAGTGGTAGCCAGCAAGGTTAGCAGAAAGCTGAGCATATCCACCGGAAGGCTCTGAAACCCCACCACGTGCTTGACTACCATGTGGATCTGAAAGGCAGAGAACTTCAGCTCCAACCCAGAATCTCCGTTTCCCACTTTCCAAGCCTTCCCCGTGCACCCCTTCCCCCTTCCCCAGTCCCCTACTCCAGTCCCCTTTTTTGTGCTCCTGGTCTAGCGCCCTGGGCTTTTCTGGTGGGCTCGTGGGAACAGAGGGGACGTATGTCACTGCACTAGAGCCAAAGGGTGTATGCAGCTGTTCCCGCTCTGAATGCTGGATCTGCACCTGCTGCCAATTGAAATCTTCACCAAAGAGGCAACATGTAAACTGGGGATGCTACCAGGGGAAGCAGGCAAGCATCCGTGGGACCTCGGTACTGCAAATTATTTCTGTTGTCCTCTTGTTCTCTGGCCTCCACCCAGGTGTGCTTGTCATAGTGCCACTCGTCACATCTATCACTTCTCCACCAGGCTTACTCCAGGACACCGGAACAAAAGCCAGTCCCTCTCCCTCTCCCTCTCCCTCTCCCTCTCCCTCTCCTCTTCCCCTTAGGGGATCACACCTCTCTGTGTCTCCTTGGAGATGGGCGGGGTTCTTACTAGGAAAGGTGAATGAAGCAGTGGACAGAACCCGGGAACTGACGGTTGAAAGGAAAAACCTTTTTACTCCCTCTCCCTTTCTGAATACGCCCAGATTTTTCCGGGAGAGAACACGCTTGACCACGATCTGGGATGCTCCCCATCCCTCACAGTTTGAACAGAGAAGTACTCGGCAGCGAAGGCTTGGCCGCCAACTGGCCCCCGGGTGACCTGCTTTCCCCCAGGCTTGTCTCCAAGCCTAGAGAGATGCGTTTGGAAGGGGACTCATCTACATCCCTGGGGGACTCCTCCAAGCCCCGATGGGCTCAGCACACACCCACACTGGCACGCACACGGGCTCGTGATACTCTTACCATCATGGGCAGCCAGAGGATGACTTTCGTCAGTGCTAGGATCAAAGAGAAGCGCTTCTGTGCCAGGCTCACCGGGAAGCCTCTGGTGCCATAGGGAATCCCGGAGTTCTCACGCCTGCAGGCTCTAGCGCTGGAGGCACCGGGCTGGCCGGGTCCAAACACTGAGTCAGGGCTCGGGGAGCGTCGCAGAGCGGGGACCGAAGCATCCCCTGGCGACAGGGAGAGCATTCTTCCCGCAGCAGCGGGGGTCCCAGGAGTGGACGCTCCACGGGAAATTTCTTGGTAGTTGGCGTGGAGTCTCGGCGGCTCCTCGGAGCACAGCAGCTGGTGAGTGAGAGGAACGGAGAGGCCGGCCAGGAGTCCAAAGGCAGAAGCGTACACCGCGAAGAGGAGCAGCACGTAGGAGCTGGAGCAGTCGGTCAGGCAACCCCAGGGCGTGCGCACGAAGGCGCCCCAGCCGCACAGAGGGAGCGCGGCGAGCAGCAGGCTGACTGCCCACACCGTCAGCGCCACGCCGAGCACCTGGCGGGATCGTATGGATGCTGTCTGACTCCCCTCGGCCCTGTGCAGCGTGTAAAAGTTATAGGAGACTAGCAGAGCCGCCTTCAAGTTGCTGGAGAGGCCCTGGCATAAATACAGTAAGGCTGAGGTGGCGCACAGAGACTGAAAGTAGCCAGGGGCCTTTTTGGGCCACTGCAAAAGCAGGAAGATGGCCACTGACAAGACGCTCAAGAGATCATCCACAGACCAGGAAGCCACAAGCATGGACACCACAGTTCTGTTCTGCATTCTTAGAAGGGACACTAGTGAGAAAATGCTGCCTACCAGAGCCGCGAGAGTCATTAAACATACCAGGCAAAAGAGAGAGAGATGGAGAGTTCCTGGATAATTCAAAAGGTCTGTAGAATTGTGACTGACTTTCCACAGGTTAGAGTCGTTTGTTAAGTTGCTGAGAAAAGACATTGTCCTTATTATTTAATTCCCCCTCTCCACGAGTCTGATGATTTCCTCAGAGCGTGACGGTTGCAAATCAGACGACATTTCTCCTGCCAAGTTTCCCTCTGGATGTTCCCAGGGTGGGTCCTGCAGGCAGTGATCAGACATATCTCCTCCAGATCTGAATCAGCCCATATTTATAATTTGGGATCCATTTCAGGCATCACTAAGAAACTTTTCCACGTTCTAAGCAAAACAAACAGATCAACCAAAAACTTTCTTCCACCACTAAATTTCAGGCAAAAATGCAAAAGCTCCTCAAGTAAATTGTAAAGTGATGATGTCTGGATCCTTTTGGGTCCTTCTTAAGGAGCAAAAACACCTCTTTGCTTGATGTAATCGAACTGTTCACTTGTGAGAGCAGTAAAATGATGCATCTGTTTCCAGAGATGGAGTCAAAGGCAAAGAGACTGTCAGGTAGGGTTTAGCTCAACTGAGACAGGGGGAGGCAGAGAGCGAGCAAGCTCGCCCAGCCAGTCACAGGGAGCCTGACTACAGGCTCCCATCAAACCTTTGTGTTCTTTAATCAGCTTGTGATCCTCAGAGCTGCAGGAAGGAGGAGTCAGCTCCAAGCAAGGAAGAAGCAGGGAAGAGAGGGAGTTCAGTGTTAGAATGAAATGGTGTAGATCTTCCTTTCTCAGCTTGCCTTATTGGAAACGAGAAGCAGTGTCCTTGCTAAGCCTTCCCTGTTGATTTTGGCATAAGAAACTAGTCCAAATACTTGCTCAGACTTGATGTGAACTACAGAAATTGCCACTGAGAGGTCTAAGCTACTCCAATAACTAAAATTCTTATTCTTATATAGACATCTGTTGTGTGAGAGACTTTTCCTGGAGAGTTACCACACCTCCCACCCCCCATGCACACATACACATCTACTCACCGGGGATGGTAACTCATAATAGATCAAATAAGGATTGTACCAAAGTCCAACTTTTTGCACTGAGTTTTTATTGGGGTTACTACCAGGAATGTGGATGAGGAATTATTTAGGGGAGCAGGCATGACTCCAAAGAAGGTGCAGCACTGAGAACCACATCCCAAACAGCTGTGATCACTGACAAGAGATGCAACCCTGGAGCTCCCTGCACAACTTGGAGGCAGCTTGGCAGGTCAAGCTGTGGATCTCTCTAGGCAGCTCCTCTGGTCAGAATTTCCTCTCAGGCAGTTGTTCAATACTTCTATAACCCCGGGGAGGAATCTTGCAAATTTTGGCTTTCCCAGTGGTTTGTCTACTTCCTGAGCCTCCACCCTGGAAGCAATATTTCAAATGGAAGGAACTGATACACAGATATCACTCCACCCCATCCTCCTGCTCTTACATTCTTTCCGCCAGCCTTCTACCAAGATGTTCTTTGAGCCTTGGAAACTGTGACACAGATGTCATCTATAGCTAAGCATTGGGTTGCTATGTCATAGCACCAGCCACTTGTTTTGAGGAGTGTCACTTGTGGTAATGCGTCTCTACATCATCCATTGCAAAAGCAAATTTCCTTCCAAAACATATTGTGGCTGACAGCAACAGTGATCTATGGGCAAAACCACAAATATTTAGAAGGCAATTTGACAGGCACATCACGTATTTTAATAAAACAGTACCAGTTGTTTCTCAGCTTAGACCTATGATCTCCCCAGCTAGTACAAGATCTGAGCCCTCTGCAGTGGATTGAACCTTCAGTCCAACGGGAAAGCTATTGATTGCCCCTAGAATAGTCATGCATCACTATTGCATAAGCAGGCACATCCTGCCTGGAACTTTGGTACTGTAGCATATGGAGTTCATAGTCCAACAGGACTGTTGGTGGCAATTCTCCCCTCAACAGCCTATATAACATCTTCAGGCCCTATGAAAGGCAGCTAGTGAGAAGGAAGCTTCCAGTTCAGTCCTAGTTTTATTTCTCTATGTCCTGCCACCAAAGCTTGTGATGTCTTCAGCAATAGGGTCTGACCATCTAGTATGGACATGCAACCAATAGCAGTGGCAATAATCTTTCTATTTAAAATTAGAGGAAACTGCTCTACAACAATTTCCCTGCTTCATAATCCACTGGAGGAAGCCTATCACTGACATCATTGTAAGAACAAGACAGCGCATATTTCACTTATTTGTGGAAGGTAAAAGAAGTTGATCGAGAAAAATAGAGTACAATAGTGTAGTCAGATGGGAATCAGCACTAGTGTTCCCTTGCACAGCAGAGTAACTTTAGACTATGAAAACTTACTATATATTTCAAAGAAAGCAGGTAAGAAGAGCCTGAAGTTTCCCAACACACAGAAATGATGTGTTCAAAGAGACAGAAATGGCACCTTCCCCAATTTTTATCATTATACACTGCATAAACAGATCAGATTATCATACTATACCCATTCATCATCCGTAAATATTATGTCAATTAAAAAAGTCAGGCATGGTGGCACAGGCCTTTAATCCCAGGACTTGAGAGGCAGAGGCAGGTGGATCTCTGTAAGATTGAGGCCAGCCTGGTCTACATAGCGAGTTCCAGGCCAGCTGGGACTACAGGGAGACCTTGTCTCTAAAAGATCAAATAAGTAAATAAATAAAGTAAAAAATAAAAACTGAATTTAATAATGCCATTCTAGTCCTCATTACGATAAATAAAATGACACAGACTCTCTGTGTAGACCATACTAGCCTTGGATTCATTTTCTGCCATCATCATCACATAAACAGACTACTGACTGAATGAATTACATTTCTAGTTACCCATAAGTTCAGAACATATTATCTCAATTCTGAAAGAAAAGTCAACCCAGAAAAAGAATAGGAAAAAACCATTCTCATTCATATTTGGGATGCTGAGGACAACAGTCATGTGTCTGAATTGTCTGTTTGGTAAAATGGGAGGCTGGCTCAGCAAAGTGGCTGATAGCAGTACTTCTGGTCCTGATTTATTTCCAAAGATGTTTTAGGGCAAGGTTCACCCCCTTCATTGTGCTGGAGAGTCTGAATGGAAGCAAAGGAAGAGAAAGGAAAGTCCTAAGTGAAGGGAGTGGCAATAGGCCTGTCCTCTGCCATCATTCTATGCCACATTTTGAACCTGAGTCTGTTCCAGGGGAGAATAATCATACTAGTCACTCACTACCAGCCACATCCTTCAATAAACACAGAAGGAAGTTCAATTTTTTGACATGCTGATTGTTTTGATTTTGCCCGCCACTTGTCAAATGGAAACAAAACCAGCATGGAATATTTAGCTATGCACTCTAGCTTCTCCTGGTGACGTACCTAATGTCTAAAATGTTTTGGAGGTGGCTTCCTCCTTGAAAGCTAGATCTCATAGTTTTGCAGAACACTATCCAAACTGCTAAGGGAGAACATCATTTGATGGGCCAATCCCAGCTTTAAGGCCTAATAACCACAACAATATTGGGGCCATAGTGGCAAGTTTATCTTCGGGGTAATCAACAGTTACCTAATTGGACTTAAAGCCCACTCAGTGGGAAGGAACTCATGTGTGGTACTGTAAACATAGCCAAATACACATGGCCGGAGAGGTCATAGATCTTAGAGAAACCCCAGGGTTGTCACATCCCTATATTAATGTAATTTCTTACTATGTGCTAAATATGGATCCTTGTATTTACAGACAATTATGCCAGTCACCACTCATCAAAGAAGCTTCTTTTGCAACAGATGGAGACTATTACAGAGTTCCACAACTGGTTGCACACAGAGATTAAGTGTCTGTGAAATGTTTAACCCTAAGTGACACATCTACATTGAAACCCCTATACCTAAGGCTCATGGAACATAGTTGAACATGGGGTAAAAAGAATACTAAGGCATTTGTCAACTCTCATCAATGAAGCTCCCTCATGCAACAGAGAGCAATGAACACAATAGAGAATAAGTATGCAGAGTATGGGTCCTTGGACAGAACTACTGTATTAAACTCTACCCACCCAGGCCTCAGGGACCATTGTGGTAGAGGTGGAGGAAAGATTGTAAGAGCCAGGGAAGGAGGTGCATGATCCTATGTAAATAGAATCTTATAGGCTCCTGAAACCTCATTCATATGAATACACAAGACTCATGCAAACTCAAGCAGACAAAAACCCAGCACAGAACTGTGAAAATGGGCAGCAGGCTCTCATCTTAGCCTAATGGGCAGCTGATTACTATGGGGTGAGGAAGACCTGATCTTCTTTAAGGGAGTGACTCTAGGTAGGCTGACTTGACCACAGTGGATGAACTTGCACTTAGGGACATCTGGGGACACTAACTTGACTCGATAGCCTTAACATAAATGACAGAATTCATGAAATCCAGGAGTGGGAGGGTGGGGAGGCTATGAGAGGGTGCCGATGGGGAAGGAGATATAGAGATGATTAAGATGTTGTGTATGGAGGCTGGAGAGATGGCTCAGTGATAAAGAGCACTGACTGCTCTTGCAGAGGACCTGGGTTCAATTCTCAGCACCAACAGGGCAGATAAGAACAGTCTGTAACTCCAGTGCCAGGGGATCTGACGCCTTCTTCTGACCTCTGTGGGCATTGCATGACATGGGTGAACTTACACACATGTAAGCAATACATTCATACACATAAAAAATAAATGAAATAAATTTTAAAAAGATGTGTATTTCAATACACTAAAATCAATAAAAATATACAAAAAATGTTTTGGAAAACATGATGATAAATTGATTTCAAAATGTTTTCAAAGTACTAAGACATGCTATTTTGTCTCTTGTTACAAATTTTATTCTTTCTTGTCAAAGAAAAAATATAGTTCTTCAATATGACATCTAATTTTGGATTTCAGTTGGGTTGAACAATAGGCATCACATTGTTAAGCTATATATTCTATATTATATTCTATATAATGAATAGAAGTTAGGCCAACGGACATGATATACTTTCAGGCCTGGAACAACCTCCCTCTCATTATCATGAATTCTGAATTTTCTATTAAATATATAGTTGGCAAAGGGACATCCTACTACGATGCTGCCCTGGTCTCTGGATTTTACAGAAGAGTCAAGGATGGTCAACACACTTCCAAAGGTTGGAAATGGAACTGCAACCAGAGGTGAGCTAGAAAGACTCCTGATTTTGATGTAGACTGTTATTGCAGGTGGATAACTTAAGACATGGCTTTTCTCTGGGCATTTGTTTCTCCATTGTAAAGGGATTTGACTT